ACATAAGATATCATATTTTTAACTGCTCTGCTTTGTCTTGGTCTACTACAGCTTTGTTGTATGATAAATAGGGTAACTAAGGTGAAATAGCACAATTAACTAAACATCAGAAAAGCACCAACCTACAGTTTTAATGTATGAAATAAGAGAAAATCAGTATTTTGTAAATGTGGTAACTTTGAGTACTTTTATCTTTTGTACTTGACTTTGTGCTTTATATGTGAACTAGGCCTGAAGATACTGTATGACTTAGAGCAGCGGTCCCCAACCTTTTTTGCGCAACGGACCGGTTTATGCCCGACAATATTTTCATGGACCGGCCTTTAAGGTGTCGCGGATAAATACAGGTACTAAAACTAGTACCGGTACCGAAAAAAAGAAAATTTATTCATAACACACGTAAAAGACCAAGGAAAACCGAGTAAACGATAAAAACGATAACAAAATAACGCTGAAAACCGATAAAAACCCTGAAAACTATACATTTCACACCTGAGCCTCAACTCTCGCGGCCTGGTACCAAATGACTCACGGACCGGTACCGGTCCGAGGCCCGGGGGTTGGGGACCGCTGACTTAGAGTGCTGAGAGATAAGATCAATAAGTGTACAGAACAGAAAAGATCAAGGCCTTTAGCCATTATGCCTTTAAGTTGTTTTTGCATGGAAGAATTCAAGTACTTTTGACAGCTTTTGTTATTTTATTATATTAAGCAACATTTTTGCAGTTAAGTCTCACTGTTTCACTTGATTTTTCCGAACAATATGGAGCGATTTTAATGGGACAATAATGGCAGTAAATCAGTATAACACCTTTTAATCATGATGTCCTGAGAGGTTTAGAAGATGTCAAACAAAATCTATAAAACAGCACAATGACATTGCTTTGGACTCAGAAAACGATTTAATCAAAGCCTAAATTAAAATGTGCAATGTCGCTTATTATTTATTTTATGTGCTCCTCTAGAATGAGGCTTGGATTTTAAATGCAACACAAGTGAATACAGTGAGCCTTTAGCACTCTGTACGGTATATGCACCACAAACATGAACATGTACAGTCACCTGTCAATGTCTAGATCCAAGTTCTGGCTGTTCCTTCATTTTGATGTCTTCTGCAGTGTTTAAAACCGAAGAACCAAACATGTTCGTTTAATCCTTACACTTCAGAAACAATGTTGTTATGGTTGATTTCACTCAATGAAAGCTGTTCTAATGTTTATCACTGACTAACTGTATGTATATGGATATGCATATGCAGCACCTTATCTAGGATACAGATATAATTCATATATACAGTATCTCATTTGTATGTATCTATGAATATGCCTTTCATTTTCAGTACCAGTGCTTTTGCAACTTTTAATGTGAAAAAAGTGGAACTCCTGTGCCATAAGATTTATGACCCCAACTAGTATGTTTAGCACAGCTCATAAAGCATTACTTTTAAGAAGCTCAAATATCTTAAAAACATATGCAGTAAGGGCCTTTGTACAGTGGTACTTTTATGGTGCAATATATGGTAATTTGTGTAATGTGTGATCTGTGGTTTGGTCTGTAAGATTCATTAAATACTAAACAGAATAAACTAAAAGGCATTTAGTACTCATTTTAGATAGCTGGATTATTTAATAATTGTTTCAAATGTAATGCATTTTAAGCAATACTTGTCTAACCATCTAAATGGATAGTATCGAGAGTGAGAGAGACACACTCGTCTATTATAATAAAATGCATTAAAATGCCAAAGTTAAAGTTCCTGTCCCATCTTTGTAAACTTGTCAACCAACTCAGTCAAGTTTCTCTACAGTAGAACCTGCTTGTATTAATGTATTAATACTTATTGAATTGACTGTATTAATTTCAGATTTATTTACCTTATTAAGATATTTGCTCTTTCACGTTTTATTTTACCATTCTATTAAATTCATTATATATTTGTTGCTTTTTCACTTCTTTAAAAAGAAAAATCTGTGGCGTATTAAGACAGGTTTAGAAACAAAAACCCATCTTTTCACAAGACAATGTGGGAGGATATTCTACAGATAAGTTTTGCAGTCATTCTTTCACTGTCTCGTTTTCTTGCAGTTCAGTTTCCACAAAAACTATAAAAGCATGGTAAGGTTTGCACACAGTGCTGTTCCTGTTTCTGTAGGCTGCTAAGACTTTTTTATTTGTTTGTTTTTCTTATCCCTAATATGGATGGTGTGAAGAAAAATATCATGAATACGAGTACCAACAAGACAAACAAAAACTGAAAAAAAAACCTTCCTAAAGTAAACCATATACAAACATTTCCACAAAAATCTCCCTTCTAGAGCTGCTCTCCTTCAAGATCTGAAGTTTCCACCACTAGAATGTAAGTATGGATTAAAATTCAAATTATCAAATTATATTGTCATATATATTTAAAACATCCATCCACCCGCTTCTGCTTTTTGTTTTGCTTTTTGATTTTTGTACTAAACTAACCAGCTTTTCTTGATTTAATCTATATTAAAAAAAAAATTTAAAAAAAAATTTAGATATTTGAAGAATATATCATATGAAGTGAAAGCAAGAGGAACATTTTGACAGGTAAGTATTTCAGGAAATCTATGAGGGTTCCTCTGTCATGATGGCAAAGGGAATGGCTCCAGCTATGTGTCTGTACTGCGCTGCCTTCTATGAGCCCTATATATGCACGATGTGTTATTATATGGCCAAACAAACAATCATAATAAAAGAGCAATCACATCATGAGTCTGCAGTATATGAATCTTTAAACAAAGCCTTATGAATCGTGATAAATGCCACGAGCTGTGTAATAAATTAAGGGCATATAAAACATTTTGTTACAATGCAAAATGTTTTGTTTATCATGAACACTGCTTTAAAGATAATGAGTGTATTTGTATTTTATTCAGTGGCTGGCTGAAAGCATAAGGCTGTCTCTCTTTGTGTGCAGACATGACCTCATCTCCCCTGAGAGATGAGGTCATGAGGAGGTAATAATAGTATTCAGGCCAACAGCACTAGTTATTTTAGCATCTTCTATTCACACTTTAACTTCAGAATCACATTCTAGCATAACCAAGAAAAACCTCCATATATGTCTGCGTCTATATATGCAAAACAAGAACAAAGGCTTCTAAATTGACTCTAGTTATGATTAAACTGTGTTGGAGCCAATTGAAGTAGGAAACAGGATGAGAAAAGAAACA